TCCATTATGAATCACCTGCTCTTGCTCTTCCTTTCGTCACACTCACCCATCGCTGACTCACTGTTGCACACCTGTTTATTTTTCTGGATACAAAGTATGGCAGCATGTTTTAACCTCACCCATTCTGCCTGTACCTTCATTTAGGTCCATTTTCTTCACTCCAACATCAACTATGACATGCACACTTGTAACACTTATTCTAGCCTTCATGCAGCTCGGTGTGTAGAGCACAAAGAAATGTCTAAGGTCACAAGGGCGTTTACCCCTTAACGCCGGGGCTATCATATTTAATACATACAGTTTTTTGAGGTTTTGGGACTTCTACTTCATCTACTTTTTTCTCTTGAAAAATCTAAATAAATTTCACAATACACTTTTGAACAATTAAACAATCTGTAACAAATTGAAAGTCAAACATAGTAATTACAATGTAATTAATTTCTTAAAAAAATTTGTCAGATGCTGCAATAAACTTTCCATTTTTTGCATTTTTATGGCAATTATTTTACAGTTGAGGCTTTAAGGGGTTAAAAAATATACTAATGGAAGTACTGAGAAATATTTCTCACTGCAGTTCTTGGAGTTTGAACCATTTCTATCACACAACCTAATGACAGATATTACCATCCTTTGTCACGGCTGTTAGCTCCTTTTGATTCATCCTTTTTTCTCTCACTTGAGCTCTTTGTCACTGTACAAAGTTTCTAGTCCAGTTAGACCTGCCTACAATTACAAATCTATTGACAATCATACCAGAAAGCATAACAGATATTGTCTTCAGATACTGATTTAAGAGTCATTTCCATTTTCTTGGCAGTTAGCTTTTTGCTCCAGCTCCACAATCTGTGAGTTAAGCAAAATCCAGTCAGAGCTGATTGCTGTGGCTCTGTATCACAGCAGCCCTCTATGTTCTGACACTCGGAGTTGCTCTCAGCTCAACTTAACTGTCCAAGAAGAGAGGATGGAGCCCCGACATTAATGAGCAGCAATCACTGAGCTTCTAAAAAAAGAAAGTTAAGGCCAGTGCTGCTGCTAAAAGCTCCTTCTCAGCATTATTTTCTTCCAGCAAGGACCCCAGACATACACTCGAGGGACAAAAACCTGCAGCAGACAGCAGCTGTCAATGGTTTCACTCAGGGAGCAACCAGCTGTAATACAACTAGCCACACACAGCTTCTGTCAGACAACATTGCCAATTTGGATGTATGGTAATGAGTGTGGGAAGAGAGAGTGGTTTAGTTCAGGAATGAAAGTAATTGCATTAGAAAATAGAGCTTAATATCTGGATGAAGAAGAGGAATGATGGAGAAAGAGTCACAGCAGCGACCACATAACAAGAAAGTCATAAAGACGTAAAGATGGGGCCTGGGCCTGGATGGATGATGGCTCGGATCACAGCAGTGGCAACATTTACTGCAGGCTAAACAGCTGGGGTGAGTGTGAGCGAGCCAAGATAAAGAGCTGGGTGCAGAATGAGAGACCGCGGAGGGAAGAGGTGAAAAAAGGAGGATGAGGAGGTCTGGTTGTCTTTACAAGCTGTCACAAGACATGGGAAATGTCACTTTGGCTAATTAGAGTCAATGAAACTACACAGAACGAAAGGTTCAGATCCATGGGAAAAGTCAGTCTGCTAAAGTTCAATGGGAGGTCAGAGCGAGGGTGAGTGTGGGTTCACCCGACTGCTGATGCCAGCAGTGTTGGTTTTTTGTGTTTGGTCTCAGGTAGAGTCAGCAATGCTAACAAGCCTTTCAAATGATCCCAGTACAGTCCATGAAAAGAATGAATCATCTTTAGAGAGGTAATCAACCTGCCTTTTTGCTTAACTTATCAAGTAAAGTTTGATTGCACAGTGTAGCGGCTATGAAATAATGGCATAATCAGCATTTAGACTGGCTCCCTGCAAGCCTTGCTTTCATTATGTGGTTCTGTCTGCCACCGTGTGCGAAATCTCTCAGGAAAATTAAGGCTTGACTGCACTACCAAAACAGGAAAAGGATAGCGCTTTTGTTTCCCCCGGTAGCTATAGGTAATTTGCCCATGTAGCTGAAGTGGCAGATGGTAGAGTAACTGTGGAAACTTTGGAGGAGGCAAAGAAGGTGTAGAGAAGAGTGATATATCAGGACTCCAAAGAGTTCAAAAGCCATATGGAGTTAGCATTATTACTACTAAATCAGCAAATAATTAAACTTGCCTATTCATTAGCCTTTTGCTAACACTTTGTTTTTAATTTTATTATTATTTTTGGTCATTTTAAAGTTATCTGGTCCATGCCACAGGAACGCTGGGGGCGAGACTGGCTGTCACTTTCACTGAAAACATCAGAAAACCCCAAACTATACAATGCACATTCTATTATTGATTGTAATCATGCAGCTCTGAGCTTTTTAAGACATCACTAGACAAACGTGCACGTGAGAACATGCCCATCACAGTTGAGTCTGACATAGCCAGTCTTTAATCTGCCAGCTCCCTACTTACAGTGAGTGACCGTCACGTCCTGCCTCCAGCACGCTAAACTACACATCCTCTGAGTGAATGACTTCCTGCTCCGTGCTGCATGAAAGACTCGACAACAATTGAAAATATCCTGACCTGATTATCTCGTTGTTGTCCAAAGTTCACGTGTAGAAATTGCTCTGATGTTCCTGAACATCAAAGGAGCAAAGGCTAAAAAAATCCACAAACACTAATAGTCTATTCAATACTCCAGCCTCTCTGTGTATTGAATTCCTTGTGCTCAAGATGCAGGGATTTTTTTTTTCTTATTTATTCTCACAGTTCAACACAAGGACACAAGGAGCCAGATTAGGGTCAGTCAGTCAGTCACAGCACATTTAAACTCGTGACACTCACACTGTCATATACAGTCAGTGTTGTTATTGTGTGAATGCTTGTGAAGCAGTGAATTATGACATACCTCCTGCATGTATGTGAATAAAAAAATAGATTTTGTTATCACAATAACAAAAGCAATCAGAGCCGGTGCTGCTGGATGACATCACCCCTTCAAACGTTTAATG